CAAGCTGATGCCATCCTGGGAGGGGGGCTGGTAACCTCTTCTCCTTCCCCCCGGTCATCGTTGAGTCTGGGCAGGACACACCCAGTGTCAGCCTCCTTGAGGGTGGGGTAGTGGAGGGCGACAATAAGAAGGAAGAGAAGGAAGAGCAGGCCAGCCAGGCAACCATGCCTGCCAGCCAGGAGCTACTCCTCATCCTGGAGCCAATCCCTCCTCCCAGGATGTTTCCCAGGCCTCAGATGATCCTGGCATAGGCACTTAAGGTGAGTTTTATAACTTTTCCCATATACACGGAGAGGCAGGTGATGGGCTGCGAGGGGTTCCATGCTCCTCGCTTGGCCTACTCAGCCTGGGAGTTACACAACAGCCTGTGTATGAGGGTGCACATGGAGTGTCAGCCCTGAGCACTCAGCCCCATGACACTGTCACTCGGGGATCTCTTGGTTTTTCTCACAAAATTCCTGGAGAGGCCTGCCTTACTTTGACCTCTATGGTGGAACACAGAGCTGCCTCAAAAAAACAAAAACAAAGGAAAGGATTTAAGTGAGCATAAGAGAAGCAGACTGATCAAAGTTAATTTACTAAGCAAAATTTAAAAAAACACACACGCCAGCTAAGCTTAATACTCTAAGAAACTTGTTACATGCAATTTCTTACCATAATTGTAGGAATAAAGACTTTTGGACGCACTAGCCCCACCCCACTTTAGCAGTAGCCAATGCCAGGTTTGGAGTGAGAATAAAAGGAAGGAGTCTGGCTCAGTTAGGGGCTGACCAGCAAGGAGACAGGAGTGTGGTTTTTCAGTCCCTGACCTAAAGCCTGTCTGCTTGTCCAGCCACAGGAACAAGTAAGCCTCTAACCCCACACCCTGGGACAAAGGGTGGAACCTACTAGAAATCCTCACTAGGGAGGTAATCTGGATTCTTTGGGCCAAACCCCAAACTTAAGGACTCTACTAATATAGTGGGCTAAAGTTCCTGGGCACCAGCAGGAACCCCTTTTCTGCCTGCTAATTCTGGGACCTAACCACTTGGCCACCCTGCTGCCAGGGAGACACTGACACATCAGGGGACACATGCTATTGTGGGGACTCTAAGCCCCTCCTACTAGCTGGTTCATAAGAAAAACAAATCCATTTACAGATCATTGTCACTATCAATGAGCCATCAAGTTTTGTAAAACAGGTTTATATTTCATATTTCTAACTCCAAATACAGCAATGATACATGCACACAAATAGAATATGCATGCACTGCTGATAATTTCCCTAATGTTACGTTACATGAAGTATTTTGCATAAGACATTTTCCACTTATGTAAATTCATATTCATATTTCCATAAAGAATATTGTCACACAGCCCTGTTAATCTGAAGCCAGTCTATGATGCTATGTGGTACACTAGGTTGCCTGAGAAGCTGCAGCTGCAAACTATGCAATGTGTTTTGAAGGTGTAGTTTTTCCATGAAATGATTATTAACCACAGGCTCATCCTGCGAGTCAGGCAGAATATCAGTCATCTTAAATGTCTGTCTTCCACAAGTCATTTTTGGTTGCCCCTTTTGTTTAATACACATGATCTTCTGAAATGCAGGCCAAGAAAAATATGTTTGCTGGTGACATTTGTATTGCTGACACAGGAAACTTTCCATATGGTTGAAGTGAATCTCAGTTAAAATATGAACGTTTTTGCCTGCTTGTTTCCACTAATTCTTAGCGGAGTCAAGACAGTCACAACTGCTTTCAATTTAAACAATCATCTTGCCAACTGATCCAGCCAGTGGCATGGCTGAAAAGTTGTTTGCTGGCACCCCCCAAACAGCTGATCAGTGGTAGTGCTGTTGAACACCTGTTGTTGGTGCTCCTGAGCTAGAGCTTATATATGTGGCAGCTTAAATCGTACCACAACAATTCTAGTTTGTATGTTCTAGTGCATGTATCTCTGCTGATCTTTGATGAGATTTCATTAAAATTAATTTGGGCTGGCGAATTACAGCAGGTGAAATCAAGCAACATCTTCAGGTGATTCTCAGACAGAAAACAGTTAAAGACAACAAGAAGATGTGCATATACCCAGGAAAGGAATAAAGTGGCGCTGGAACCATTTTTGTAGTAGGGGTGCTGAGAGCCACTAAACCAAACTGGAAACCACTTCAAGCCGGGGGGTGCAGCTACATTCCCAGCACGACCCTTAAATCCCACCCCAAGAAATTGAGGGTTTTTTTAGGTGACTAGGATCATAGAATCATAGAATACTAGGACTGGAAGGGACCAAATACTGTCTAGACCATCCCTGATAGACATTTATCTAACCTGCTCTTAAATATCTCCAGAGATGGGGATTCCACAACCTCCCTGGGCAATTTATTCCAGTGTTTGACCACCCTGACAGTTAGGAACTTTTTCCTAATGTCCAACCTAAACCTCCCTTGCTACAGTTTAAGCCCATTGCTTCTTGTCCTGTCCTCAGAGGCCAAGATGAA